GCTTGCCCAAACGCACCTCGATCACCTCGAAGCCGAGTCCCACCAACGCCGCCGTCAACAGGCCCACCGCCTTGCCAAGCATCATGCGCCGCCCGAGCCTGCCGCCCCAAGCCGCCACCTCGGGGCTCTCATCCTCCGGCCCCAGAACCGAGTCCCGTAGCCCACTCAACTCCTTCTCCTCCTCATCTTCCTCCGCCGCCGCCGTCGCCGTCGCCGCCTCCACTCCCACCGTCTCCAGCGCTTCGTCTTCCATCATTTCTCCGGCCTCATTATCCTTCGCTGTCGGCTTGCCCCGCCGTCGTGCGCCCTGGCTCGAGTCCTGCGCTACCCGGTTCAGGTAGGCCTGACAAGCCTCGAGCCACCAGACGCCGCCCAAAAAGAAGAGCGTCAACCCAAGAAGGATGCAGCTGGTCAACTGGCGGGGGACTCGAAAGGCTTCGGCTTCTTCGGTCTCCATCGGCATCGAGTGGCCGGACAATGGCGGCATCGAAACGACCACGAGTTCGGTCACCGTCATGTTGACGAGCTGACGTGTCGACAAGTCTCCAGCCTCGGTCGTGGTGTTCGAGGGGATCCAGGATTGGCTCGAGTTGTCGACCATCGAGCAGCAACCGGTCGGCATGGGCATAACAGCCGATTTGATCAGTGTCCACGCCCTCTTCTAGCCACGTCTGTATCGCGCCCACCTTTCAAACAATCTTCTCGGTACAGGAGCGATTGTCGGACGACGCTACTCTTCACCCCTCCAGGGCCCATCAAGACCTATCGAGTGCACTTGCTCTGTTGGTAGACATTCAAGCAGTCCGTTGATAGACGGTGTTTTGTCTCACTTTTGCATGGATAGATCAATGGGACGCGTTTTTATTCATGTATTTAGACTTGGTAATTGCGTCCCAATGCAATATCTATAAAGAAGAGGGTATATTCATTTTTTCAAAATCTATTTATTCATTTGTGATAGTTTGCCTTGCCCTAATGCAATCCATAAATAAGTAGTAAACGCAGCAGTTTATCTGTGGACTATGAGATGTATTCGCCCTATTTCATTTAGGGTGATGAGGGTACTGGTAGTTGAATTTTCCCACATTTTTATGAGAAGCTCTTTTTGGTAAGGAAGGATATATGCAATTTAATGGAAAAATAGTGTCTATTACTTTCATATCGTATTAAGTGAACTAGGTTGAATACATCCCATACATATACAGGATCTATTGGTAGCCTCTAAAACCTGTTCATAAACGAAAAATGTGCGGACCGACAAAATGTCTATCAATAGTGCAAGACTATTCAAATTTTACAGACAATATTAGGAGCTAGATGCTTTGTGGACGAACAAATGGGGCCATGGGGAATTGAATGGCTGAATCCTATTCCAAGTAGATCGTCTGATGGATGGATGCATGAGCGTGAGTCGTCAAGACGACCACAGGCAGAGCTGTAGGAAGGCTTGTAGCCATTTACACGCAAATGTAGACAAACGGGGCCTTGTACCAATTGATTTATGGATAGTGCATTGAGACGTGTTATAAATAAGTATATATATATATATCCACACACACGAATATATATATATATATGTGAACATTTATAAATCTGTCCACATACTGCATATTGTAGTTGTGTATGCCCATGTCGGACTCTTCGAATGCTTTTTACTATGATTGGCTCATTTGACCAAACATCCACACTCAATTCTGTTTCTATAGTCTCTTGTGGTTATGACTTGAGGATAGTGAATTGGATAATCAAAGTAAAAGACTGGAGCTATCAATAAATGATGATTTAATGAGCGTCTTTTAATAAATTCATGATGTTGTACCTTTTTTTCGATATGAGTAGCCTTCGAGACTATCCGTAACTCGAGAAACGGAAATTAGTCGCCTTAAATTAAGGTAAAGACTAATAGCTGAGTTTCCCCACTATGAGATTCCAATGAAGTTCACTTAGCCCTGTCACCTAAAAGTTTATTTCATTCAGGTTGAATTGGATTGTAGTCTAAACCTTACCTACGTCTTGTTAGCACCCCCAACGGGATTCGATACCGTGTCGGGAGTAACGAGGCCACGTTATCATTCCACTACACATCCAAAAGTGTCAGTGGGTCATAGGACAGATATACCATTCAAGACAAGCCAGAGCACACGCAAGTCACATTTTAGCGAAGGGTTTATGTTAAGCAAACACGTGAAACCGAAGGCATTACTTAACTTTGATGAGTAGCTTTCGAGACTATTAGTAAGTCTTTAATGCGAACTTAATATCAATAGGTCGCTTAGGCTAATCTAAGGACTGATAGTAGAGTTTTACAGCAA